ACGAAATTTGAAACAAACAAGTTTTCAAAGGGCTTTCAAGATGTGCCATAAACAAGTTCGCTGTGGTTTTTTTGAGTAAAAAAGTGTAAAGAAACAGGTAAGAAAAGAAGTATAGAAGGAGTAATGCAAAATGTAAAAGGGAGAGGACTTCAATCGCGAAGGGCTACACAAAACATCTTTGTGTGGAACATCTGGAGCTTTTCCTGAAATTTATCAAACGTGCACCGTTGTGTAGAGGGGGATATTTAAAACGTGTATTTACACCTTTTTCGCACAAAAAAGATTTAAAAAGAAATTGTGATGTTTTAAGAGAGTCATTAATCAGAAAATATTTGTTTTCTTTTTTGTGGTGAATCAATAAAAGCGGAGGAAATAAAAAAAATTCGGGAACCCAAACCTAGCACTGTTATCGTAAATAACGGCTAATAAAATAGCGGAAGTGCAGTTAAGGGGACAAGTGAATGGTGCTATAAACGGCGAATGTACGCTGTTGAACGGCTCGTCCAGAGTCGATATTGAAAAGACAAGTAGAAGGCGGAAGGCCGAGTGCGGATGACGTTACCATAAAAGAGTGACAAAGTACCATTAACTTTTTTTTGAGAAGAAGACGATCGAAAGATCAAAAGTATTTTCTTGAAGATAATTCAAAAAATGAGAAAATTGTTCATCAAACGATTTCAAAAGGGGTATTTAATAAAGTATTGACTAGCTGTTAATTGCAAACGGTCATTATCGAAAATGCCGTTCTCGCACAATGCAACTCCTAAACTATAATGGATAAGTTTCCAATTGCTTTAGGTTATTAGCAAACTTATGAGTTCGATATTGCGTTCGATCCCGAGTTATCGCATAAATTAGTTTTGTTTGAGTAAAGTTTCCGATTTCCTTTTGATCTGAACGAATTACTCTCAATTTTTTTTAACAATTTTTATTAATTCATAATAACAAAATAAACATCACACGCGTATTGTTTGTCTTTTTAAAATACATCGAAACGTGTGCAAAAACGAAATATCGGTACTCGTATTCCACTAAAAAACATGACGACACATTTACCAATAATATGAAATATTTTGTTTGTTTTATAACGACCTCTAAATTATTCCTGACGCTATTCGAGCATAAATTAGTATTTTACTATGTATAGGGGACATTTTTTGTATTGTTAAAACGTTGAAATGTCAATACTCAGCCTAACGATGCGTTCTAAAAAAAGTGCACATTACGCCCACGGTTTTTAACAAATATAAAATAGAAACGCCCAATTTAATAAATATAAACGTCCGCAAATAACCGAAAACATATATAAAAATGGCAATTTTTCCTTTTTGCAATCACAATTTTGCATTCACACCCGGTCCAATTCATTTGTTAATTAAAATAACAATCGTAGTTGATATTTTATTATAAAAAAAAAATAATAAAACAAAATAAAAATAGATTTCCAATAAAGGAAATGACATATTATTTTTATTATAAACTTTTAATAGTTTGAAATACGATTTACTTTATTTTAAGGAATTTTAATTGTTCGTACTGTGTATGTTTTGTACTTATTGTTAGTCAATTAACATTTTTTTTATTATAAATTGCGTAGGGTTATCTAAGAATTTAAAACTTTCATGGAAGCTAATTGAAAATTACGTGGGGTTTTTTTAAGTAGAAAAACCCAAAGTTTATGACTTAAAAGTATTCTACACTCTCAACTTTCTCGCATTATTATTGACAGTGACATAATTGCAACATTTGCAAATTCATATCTATACATGCCTTTACAGATAACGTTAAGGTTACGAAAATGTTATCGTCGTGGAGAAAATTTTCGAGATATTCACTTATTTCAGGTTAAAAAGACAATCTTGTTCTATCTCAGACATTTTATTCTATAGTGTAGAATCTGCCAATATATGGAAGCTTGTCTTTATCGCCTGCCAATTTGTTTGCAGTGTGAGCTTTTATATCTGGAAGCTTTTAACTTTTCTTATAAGCTGCCAACTTGTTAAAAACATGAGCTATTGTATCTCACAGTTTCTGTTTTATAGTGTACATCATGTCAACTTGTTGGTAGTATGAGCTATTATGCCTGAAAGCTTGTAACTGATCTCGCAGGCTGTTAACTTATTGGCAGTATGAGCTACTACATATGAAAGCTTATAACCGTCCTTATTACCTGCCAATTTGTTTGCAGCGTGAGCTATTGTAACTCACAGCTTCTGTTTTATAGTGTAGAGCCTGTCTTATTGGCAGCATGAGCAATTGTGTCTCAGAGATTCTGTTCTATAGCGTACAACCTGCAAAGTTGTTTGCAGCACCAACTTGGCTACCAACTTATTGGCAGCATGAGCCACTATATATGGAAGCTTGTAAGTTCTCTTATTGGGTGGCAACTTATTGGCAAAGCTTCTATTCTGTATGGTAAAGTCTGCCAACCTGTTGGCAGTATGAGCTGTTGTATTCCAGAGGTTTTGTTCCGGATGGTACCAACTATTTGGTATCTTCATTCCATCAATTTTTCTCAAGGAATTCAAAGGTTTGATGAATACTACGATTCATGCTACATATAAACCTTTTCCAACGCCATTTTAAATTTCAAGCGATTATCTATTTTGATTTTCAAATTGCTCGTTATGTTTTTCTTCACGTTATTGGATAGAGATTTTTTTCTGAACCCTTAATGTACAATACATTAACATTAATTGTAATTGGACCGCGTTATGCATCACTTGGTTAAGCGACAAATGAATAATGTTGAGAAAAACGGGATTTTCGTTTTTATCTCTCTAAAAATATAAGGCTGAAAATTGTTTGGTGCCTATCTATTTTTATCACAGACCACTGATGACAGCTATCACAAGCACAGAAGCCGCTTGGTCACTCGTTACGTTTTATGATTATACAGGTGTTTCTGTAAGTCGTGACATAAATTTAATCACTAAAGCTATTGGATTAATAGCTATTAAATGATGACGATTCGAGTAAAAATGTTGGAAGAAAGTAATCTAGAGTTTCATTTTATACTTTTAAACTGGTTTTTATTTTATACAGAATTTAAGTCTAACCAGTTTCGGCCCTTGGCCATCTTCAGAGACTCTACAAATAGATTAACATCTCTCATCTTATCCATTTTACAAACAAGATTCCTAATATCTCTTTTTGTTTCGTTAAAAAAAATCACATATCAAAGTTGAAATCAGATTATTAGTTACTAATTTACAAAATTAAAGTTTAGAATGTTGTAAAATGAAATTAAGGATGAAGTGTTACAAGTTTACAGGTTAAAATTTAAGAAAGAAGAAAAAGAAATATTAAGAAGCTTGGGAAAAATTCAAGAATCATCATATGGCTTACAAATCGACGATTTCTTTTAATCAATGAGAAATGACCCAAAAAACACGTTAAAAATAAAAAGAAAGTGACTAACACTAGATTAACTTCAGTTATAAACCTTCTATTGCATGATAACTAACTTCAGGTTTAAAATGTCAAACTCAATTTTGACATATTTGTAATCTTCATTAAAAATCCTTTAATATGAGTACAAACACGACTTATTTATCTTCAATATCAATGAAGTTATGGTCAACTTCCGGTTAAGAATGTCAACGTCAATTTTGACATATTTGTAATCGTCGTGAAAAATCCTTTGAAATAAGTCCAAACATGATACGTTTAATTCCAATATTATTCGAGATATAAGCAACTTCCGGTTTGAAATGTCAATGTCATTTTGACTTATTTATAATTTTTATAAAATATCTTAATATTTGTCACAAAAACAAAAATATAATAAAAAAAAATAAAAAATTAAGGTTGGTATTAATATTTAAGAATTAAATTGCTATCTTCATTGTTGCTAACTTCGGGTTTAATGTTTTTTATTCAAACTTTTTTGTTTTTTGAGATAAGTGTGTCATCTTTGGACTCATTTTAAAAGTTTTTTAATGAAGATGACAAATATGTCAAAATTGACGTTGACGTTTCAAACCGGAAGTGATTGTATCTCCATTAATATCAAAGTTAAATATGTCGAGTTTGGACTCATTTTAAAGGATTTTTTATGAAGTTGACAAATATGTCAAAATTAAAAGTTGAAAATTCGATCTTTTTGTTTTTTTGAGATAAATGCGTCAAGTTTGGACTCATTTTAAAGGTTATTTTATGAAGATTACGAATATAATAATAAAATTAAAGTTGACATTGACAACTGAAAGTTTTTTTCACGACTAAACCCGAATGTTTGTAGTTCTCGTAGTATCTTATGTTAATTAGCGCTACCTGCCACTAGAACTAACACTAAACCGTCTCTCAAGACAGCTAAACGCGAATGATTATAGTTCTAGGTCTCTAACTAACACTACACCTAGAAATAGAAAGTTTCGGGTTTAGCAGTCTTGATAGACGTGGGACTGTGAAGAGAGCTTGGGGCGTTTTTTGTGTGACACCCTGTATTATAAACTAAATATAAATTCTAAGATTCGAGCCAAATCAAAATTCTAATAGATCCTTTTCTATTTTTAATCCAAAACTCGTCCCCGTAACCTCCTTTTTTTACATTAATTAACCTTGACATTGATAAAAGAACCTTTGAAATGCTATTCAAACGATCCAATAAAAATAAACGATCATTAGCGATGAGATTACCTTCGATGACACGTAGAATACTAATTTTCGTTTAGTCATTGACATCGATTATTTATTAGTGGAAATCCCGCTCATCTCATTCTTAAAAATTTATCGTTAGCCTATTACCAAGCAAAAACGATGATTATTATAATAATGTCTAACTATTAAAAGAAAATCTTTTGTTTAGATTGTTAAGATCGTGTTCGAGAATCGCAACAGGATGTAAAGTTTCTTAGATTTATCGTGACGGGAAAGACCTTTTACTACGATGCGGTTGATATTTTAAAAGTTGCAAAAAAAATTTTGTATATTAAATATTATTTTCTTTATCTCTTCGTCATTTCTTACATTTATCTATGTACTTAGAATTCTAGATTACATTTCGTAACACTCTTAATATATTTCCCTGAAGAATTTGAAGGTTTTTGCATGCTAATAATAATTTGTAACAATTGCTCGAATTCTTTCGTACAAACAAAAGCACGAATACCGAAACAATAACAAATAAAAAAACATATCTTCATTTTATGAATTTTAGTAACGCCAAGTATATGTATGTAAAGAATCCATGACGCACATCACTAAGTTCATTTAAAAATCGAATTTCTGATTTTGCCAGCATTAGGTTTCCTATCTTTACAATGACTTCATGTAACGTTTGCGATTGTAATGCACCTTATATAGGTCCATCTCTATCAAATACTTGCAATAATGGATCTTTTATTCTGTTTATGGCAATATTAAATAATTACTTAGCGAAAACTTGCCCGATTTCTGATTTATGCGGCCGAATAAAACCTCGGATAAAACCCGATAAAGAATACGATTGTATTGTAATTGGAGGTGGATCAAGCGGAGCAACCGTAGCTGGAAGATTGGCAGAAATAAAAAATTGGAAAGTACTTCTTTTAGAAGCGGGTGGAGACGAACCTCCGGGCTCCCAAACACCATCTTTTTGTTACAACTTTAATGGTGGCCCCGATTTAGATTGGCGATTTGAAACCGAACCATCACCCAATGCCTGTATTGGTAATCCTGGAGGAAGATGCGCTTGGCCAAGAGGAAAAGTTTTAGGAGGTACTAGTGTCGTTAATGGAATGATGTACATGCGGGGTGTACAAAAAGATTATGACGATTGGGAGAAAATGGGGAACAAAGAGTGGGGTTGGAAAGACGTTTTTCCTATTTTTCTTAGATCCGAAAATAATCTGCAAATCGGTGATAAGTATAAAAAGAAGTATCATGGTAAAGGTGGTCCAATGGATGTTAGACAATTCAATGACAGGCCGGAACTTGCTGATGATATTATTAAAGCTGCCAAAGAAGCTGGATATCCAGTTCGAGATGATTTAAATGGTGATAATCATACGGGATTCACTATAGCTCAAGCAACTAATGGGTAAGATTATTTCTTAATTTTAACAGTTTGAATATAACACAAAAAAATCAATATTTTTGAGGTTGCCTCAATAATTATTACTTTGTATCAAGACGTTTTTTAAATAATTGTATGAAGACGCACCATTATTAGAACTAACACAAGACCTAAAACTAAAATCATTCGGGTTTAGCCGTCTTAAAAGATGTTTCTAGATCTAGGTCTAGTTTTTAATTTTGCTACACGTGTTTCGATCGAACTATGCGATCTTCATCTGGCACGACTAGAGACAAAGTAAAAATAAGTTTCATTATCATATTAGCTAATTACAAAAAACAAACAAATTAAAATCAAATTTACCGTCAAGAGTTGTTGATTGAAGAACAAATCATCAGGTTGAAATATTTGACAGTAAAATTTGTACGGTTAAAACTAAAAACGTCAAAACAAATGGCTTAATATTAGCAAGTAAAACAGGTTAATACTCTGGAAAAGACAACTTACTTAGCGTCAAACTAAATAAAATTATCACTAGAATTATATTTTAAAAGATACGCATTGGACGGAGTTAAAATTAAAAATTCTTTAGGCAGGAGTATGACTGACAAGAAAGGAACTGATTGTAGATGGAAATTTTCTGGTTTTGACGAGATTTATAATCGCATGCGCGTTTGTGGGAAGAGAAAACAGGACAGGCAGCAACAAGAAATTCAAATGGAAATGGTATGCATAACAAAATGCATATATAGTATATAAAGTGGATCTAAAGAAAATCGTGGAAACATCTGTTAGTATCGAAGTCAGCAATGTCGTTCATAAGTATATTCTCTTTTTTGTGTAGACCTATATTATATTCCTCATAAAGGTTCAATTCATTTGACTTCTTTAGATTTATAATCAGTTTGACATTTTGAAATTGTATTCTGTGTTTTTGTTCTTGTATGTGTTTATGAACGGCTGATCTTGAACTGGACAAATGTTCTTTGAACCGAGTGTATATATTTCTTCCCGTTTGGCCGATATATATTTTATTGCATTCCGGACATTCGATCTTATAAACACCACTTAATTCCTCTTTTCTATGTTTGGCTTTATTATTAATTAAAAAATTGCTAATTTTGTTATGAGATACAAAAGCAGGGGATAAATTAAATTTTTGTAAATTGTGGTTCAGTTTATTTTCTAAAATAGGGTGAAATGGGAGTATTAAGAATTTTGAGATGTTTTTTATATTAGGAAAAATCAAGTTGTTAATTCTAGAACTATGGACCTTATTATAGATATTTTGTAAACTGTTTATAGAGTAGCCATTATTCATACCAATAGTAATTATCTTCTTGATTTCTACCTCTAAGTTATTTTGGTTCAAAGGGATGTTATAAATTCTGTTAAACATGAATCGAAAACTGGCATGTTTATGCTGTTTAGGATTATATGAATTGTTGGCAATGACATTGTCCGTAAATGTGTCTTTCCTGAAGATATTAAATTCAAGTTTTTGATTACATAGATTCTTGGTAATGTTTAAGTCTAGAAAGTTAATCATGTTGTCTTTTTCCATTTCGATAGTGAACTCTAAGTTGGTAATATTATTAAAGATATTCTGTAATGCTATCAGATTGGCGGAATTGCCTTTATAAACAATTAGTATATCATCAACATATCGACTATAAAAAATGACATCTTTTGTGAAAAGCTTATATTTGTATCTGTTCAAATTTGTTGACATATATATCTGCAAGGATCCCAGATATTGGAGAGCCCATAGGTAATCCATGGGACATTTTAAAAAATCTATTATCAAATGTAAAGAAATTTTGATTACAGGTAAATTCAAGTATTTTTAAGAAACTGTCGATTTCCAAGGGGTCAAGATTTAATTCAATGATTTTATATATAAGGTGTTTTTTAATAATTTGGATGGTTGGAGTGATGGGTATATTTGCATACAAATTTTTGATGTCAAAAGAGATCAATTTACAGTTATTGTCGATATTCAAAGTGGATAGTTTATTTACAAGTTCGGTGGAATTTCTGATAGAATAAGGGAAAGTGCCTTTGAAAGTTGAATATAGAAATCTTTGGATAGTTTTCGCAATTTTATTAGTTGGTGTATTATTATTCCCGATTATAGGTCTTATGCTTTTGTCCTGCTTATGTAATTTAATTAAACATTTCATGGAGGGTATGAGAGGATTCATTTCGAAGGAGTTATGGTGATCAATACCAAATTTACTCAAAAAAGGCATATTATCTTTAACTAGTTTTTTTAATTTATTATTATATGGGAAGGTGGGGTTATTCTTGATTTCTGTTATAAAGTTAAGAGCAAAGAAATTTTCAGTCTTGTTTATATAATCTGTTTTGTCTATAATGACAGTGCCAGCTCCCTTGTCACCAAGGGTAACTATCAAGTTATTTTCTTTTATTTTGTGTTTGAGGGTATTGATTTTTTTGTAAATATCGTTGGTAACTTTCTTTGTGTAAAATGGTTCCTTAAAGTTATTATCAATGTCTTTAATTAATTTACTGTTATCTTTAAATATTTGATGTATGCTATGATTGTACAGGATGTCCCACGACGAACTGCGTCGATCGATATAGGAGAAACTATGAGTAGTATCTTTCTGAAAATTTGTAGGTGCACTTATGTCGATATGCCCAACTCACCTAAAATATTTTCAAGATTGTCGCACTTCCGGTTATACCGGAAGTAGACAACAACTTCGTTATTTNCACCGAAAATAAAAATTAAATATTTTTTCATCGTCTCTGAGATTTCTTATTTTTTAAATAATTTTACGATGAACCTGGAAATAACATTAACTAAAAAACGTAGATTATGATAAAAATCGTTACTTATTGGAATTGAAATAAAAAAGGTGTACGTGTTCAAATTGAAAAATACCCAAAAATAAGATAAAATATAAAGAATTGGTGATTAATATTCATAACTTCCTTCAAGATTGGTGCCAAATATAAGCTGCTTGAGAACAGAAAAAAATGGTAAGTTTTTAAATAATTGAATTGGAACTGAATTTGAACTGAATTTTCTAAAATAGCACTAAAAAGTGTGCACATTTCATTAAAAAATACAAAATTGTTACCGAAGATGAAATAAAAATGTTCAAAGCGATTAAATCAAAAAATATTAAAAATCACCACAAAATGAATACTATAGATGTTATAAACATTCACAACTTNTATGGTCGCATTCTGAACTTCGCCTTAGGATTTCCACCTGTTTTGTATTTAAGTTATTTTTCTTTTTAAATATTGTTTTTTTTGCTTTTTTGATTACCTTTATTTTGCATTATAGTAACTATAGTTACTATTATTATTGTTTGTTCTCTTTACTCCGGAAATAAAGGCAGTTTATTATTATTATTATTAATATTCATAACTTCCTTCAAGATTGGTGCCAAATATAAGCTGCTTGAGAACAGAAAAACATGGTAAGTTTTTAAATAAGTGAATTGGAATCATGAACTAAATTTTCTAAAATAGCACTAAAAAGTGTGCACATTTCATTAAAAAATACAAAATTGTTACCGAAGATGGAATAAAAATGTTCAGAGCGATTAAATCAAAAAATATTAAAAATCACCACAAAATGAATACTATAGATGTTATAAACATTCACAACTTCCTTCAAGATTGGTTTGGAATCATGAAATTTTCTAGAATTATAGTAAATTGATTGCGATAAAGATTACAAAATCGTTATTGAAATTGAAACAAAAAGGTGCACGTATTCAAATTGAAAAATACTCAAATATAAGCTCTTTGAAAACAAAAATATCACAAGTTCGGATCTCTCTTAGTTACGTCAAATAGCTCCCAATAGCTTCGAACCAGTTTCTGCAGAAAATAACATCCGAAAGGCCAAACCTTGTCTTAAAAGACGCACGGCAAAACCCGAAAGTTTCTAGTGTTAGCTCTAGTTTTAGTTCTAATTTTAGTTCAATTAACACCGGCCGTGAAAGCCTTCCTACCTATATCGAAAAAATAAGTTTCCAACATTTATAGATTTTCGTAAATATTACCTTATATTCGTAATAATTATTCATAAAATTTTTGAGGATTGATAAAGAATCGTGAAATAATAAGAAAGATAGCGTGAATTTTGGTAATAAAAATGCGAGAAAATACAAAAATTAGAACCGATGCTCTTGGGAATAAACGTACAAAAATGCTGAGCATATTCGCACACGAAAAAACAGCAAGAGAAGCAACAAAAGGGAACTGTTAGAATTCAAAAACTCAGCTCTTCCGTAATTGATATGCGGGCACCCCTTCATGGAATGTGGGTTATTGCGCAAGACGCCGACGTGAGCTTTTCCAAGCGCCAAGAACCTGCAACTTTGCGACTTTAACGTGTATGCGCACCGAATAGTTTACAGAGCAATTTTACGAAACATCCCAGGTGTCATTTTATCCGGCTAAAGAAATATTTCTCTTTTAACAAAGTTTCGTAAAAATTTCCAACCTCCACTTAAGGTTAATTACTTATTTAAAGTTTCACTAAAGTGGACATCTTGAGATTTGAACAAGTTTCGTCGATTTGATCATGATTTGATAGCTCGAAAGCTATCCGTTTTATCGCCCGCAAAACGAGCAATCTACGGAACTGGAAGGCGGTAACCGAGTGAATCCCGAAAAAATTTACATAGATATTCGCCTTTTGTCTTCCGTGCGGCCTCAGACGCAGTACCCATTTTATAGGCCTTCCGATTGTTATGTAAAGGGCTTCGTTATTGGTTTTTCAGTTTGCTTTTTCCGTTCCATTCTAATATCCCTGCGTTCGGTGGACAATATCGTATTTACACTACTCCAATTTTCTCGATTCTTATTCAAACATGAATTGAAGAACATCGAATAACCCCACCTATAACAAAACTTTATTACAATAACCCCCTCACGTAACAATTCAAAGTTGTTATACACGTTGAAACAATGAATTGGTACAAGTTTGGATTCAAAGTTTAACCGCAACGCTTGGAATCATTTTCATAATCCTCAACCGTACTAAATTTACTCAGTAAACGCTCGACAAGAGCACCTAGAAAGGAAGGGCGCACCGCGTAGCATCATTAGTTTTGGAGATATACGAATGCCGGTGACGGTGTGTTAGCGTTAAACGTAATTGTTTCGGCACACCGTACGTACTTATGAGGGCCCTGCATACACAAAGGGCTCTTCTCTATAACGTGCAGAGTGAGCTGGAGACAATAGTTCGCCCCAACAAGTCCATAGTCATTTTACGAGCGGGCACTAAGCCGTAATGTCGAAATTAACTTGAACGAATGACCGCGTTGTTGTCTTCTACAACCCATTACGACTTAATATGACCATAACGCCATTTGTGTTAAGAGATGATATCGTCAATTTTGAAATTAATAAATCTTAAAGTTCTTGAATATTAAACAATGTATTGTAGCTATAACGAAAGCTGAATTATTGTAAAATGGCATGTTCGACAAGATTTTTTTAAAGGTTTAAGTCAAGGATGGTTTAAAGTTTCCTCTATAGGACAATTAGAAGCGTTCAATGTGAAAAAATTTTTGTATTAATTCCCGGGTTAACATCATTTCCCCCAGGTTTAGGTATTTATATAACTATCACAGTCCACGTCGGCACATTGATAATACGTAAACAATGCCGACAACGTATACAATGTGTATACAATGTTATGGAGCTGTAATAATTTATCTTTTCGTCAAATACTGATTTCAAACTGTAACTAAAACAAGTAACAAAAGTAATTCACATATTTTGATTGTTTCACATTTGACAATGGATGAACAGATCCGGACTATGCCTGGTTATCTGTTGTAGGAAGGTGGTGAAGTAAAGACGAGTAGATAATTAGTTCATACTAAATTTTATTATTGATTCCAAAACAATCGTGTCTTATTTACAAAATTAAATTTAACAATTATTTTGCGTCCTCGATTATTGTTTGAGCGCTGCCGATATCGATCCTTAATCGGCAATTGATCGATGGACCTGCTGAGTTGCAGCGCTTCGTCAGGTGTTGTTGCGACCGCTAACTGGGTCGGTTCGAACCTTGCGTTATCACTATTTTAATTTATTTCCTAATTTGTTTCTAATCTTTAAAAAAATCTTTTTTGTTTAATTAAGATTAAACAAGCTGCGACGCCCAAGAAACGAACGACGCTTCACATTTACTTAATAATAATAATAATAGCCTTTATTGCACATTCATCAGGAAAAATGAAAAATAATTATAAATAATTGATTACAAAAATAAAAGTAAAAACAAATTGTAATAAAAAGATAATGAGATAATTAATAAAACAATGTACTACAGTAAAGTATTACACCAAATAAAAATAAAATAAAATAATCATAAAAAAAAAGAACAATAACAAGAGAAAAAGAAATAACTGATTTTCAATCCAAGCCTTGACAATTATTAAAGAGATATGAAATACATCATAATCCTTAACTCTACAAAAAATAAAAAAAAGAAAGAAAACAATATCTTAAATAATGTAAAGAAATATTCGCAGCAAAACTGTGACTCACCGGTCTCTGCCAGAAATAGTAGTCACCTGCTCTCCAAGTAACCGTGCCCTTAAATGTTTTTTAAAACAATTAACACCGAGATTCCACAACTCGTCACCAATGCTCCCGTATGACATATATATGAAAAGAAAAAGATCTTTGGAAAAGTGACGTTCTGTGTCGAGGCGGGTCTATGCAGCACCTAAATCTAGTTTCACGATTGTGAATATCGCACCTAAAAAAAATCTTATTGTACAAATATATAGGGGTTTTAGTAGTAATCAATTTATGATAATAAGTTAGAGTATGAAGTTCTCTTCTTGAGCACATCGACAACCAGCCTAATTCAATAAGCCAGTGGGAAATGTGATCGAACTTCCGGATTCCATAAATAAAACGAAGACAGCTATTCTGAACTCACTGAATCCTCCCCGAGTCATATGAGCACACAGCCGGATGATATAAGGGAATCATATAGTTAAACTGAGAAAGAACCAAGGAGTCACATAAAGTTTTTTTCAACATGATAGGCAAATAGCTTCTATGGGGATATAGTAGCCTTAACGAGTGATACGCTTTCTTGATGTAGTTATTAACTTGACTATGGTATCTAAAACTGTTATCTACAATCAAACCAAGACTCCTTGCCTCACTCACAATCGGCACTTCAGATCCCTGAATGTAAACTTTAACCAAACCCTTTAACTGGTCGCAAACGCTTTTGTTACCAAAGAGCAAAACGGCAGATTTATTAGGATTAATTTTCAGACAATGCAAATTGGAAACATTCGTTATATATTCCAAGTCAGAATTTAAATTATTAATAGCATTGCGCCATTGGGATGGACCAAAAGAAACATAAAGCTGGGTATCGTCGGCATAACTGTGAACTTGATTGTGTTTCACATTATGAAAGATTTTTGAAGTATATATCGAAAACAACGTGGGACCAAGAATTGAGCCCTGAGGAACCCCAAAATCAATTGGTCGAGAAGAAGATGTTATGCCCTTAATCCGAACACACTGTGATCTCCGTCCAAGATAACTGCCAAGCAGAGCAACCGCCGAAGGATCAAGCCCAACAGAGTGAAGAATCCTAAAAAGGACCGCATGATTCACAGTATCAAACGCTTTACTATAGTCTAACAAGGTAAGAACGGTAACTTCACCCTTATCAGTCGCAGAGATAATGTCATCTGTCATCTTCAGCATCGCAGAGCAACAATCATACCCTCGACGAAACCCAGACTGAGTAGATGATAGAGAGTCAGTATCCGTAATAAATTCCGTTAATTGAACTTTCAGTACTCTTTCAAGAACCTTTGATAACATTGGCAGAATACTAATGGGTCTCAGGTCCTTTAAAGCTTTTGGGTCACTACATTTAGGTATAGGCTTAATTAAGGCTTCCTTCCAGCAATCAGGAAATACACTTTCCAGAATGCAGGAATTTATAATATGTGTAATAAAAGGTACTATATGGGGACAACAAAGTTTTACCATCTCAGGACTAATTTTATCAGTTCCTGTTGCAGCAGATTTCATCATTTTTCATTTTTTGGACGAGTTTCCATCTTGTCGAGAGATTCACGTGTATATGTGACCTTTCTTCTAGTAGTGCGATGATTGGTCTTCCAATTAAAAAGTGACCTGGAGTAATTACTTCTTCTGTGACGTCTTCGCTGATTGGAATCAGTAGTCGTGAATTCAAACAGGCTTCTATTTGATATAGCAACGTTGTGAACTCTTCGAAGGTCAGGGTTGAATCTCCAATTACACGTTTTAAATGGTGTTTAATTGATTTTACACCGGCTTCCCAAATTTCTCCAAAGTGAGGAGCTGCGGGCGGAATGAAGTGCCACTGAGTTCCTTGTACTGTCAGGGCATTTTGAACTTCGGGTTTTGACGTTATTGATGTTACTTCTCCTCCTAATATTTTGTGAGCGCCTACGAAGTTCGTCCCATTGTCGCTGTACATGTGACCTCTTCTCGAGACAAATCTCCGGGACGCTGCTATAAATGCTTCTGTTGTCATGTCGCTGACCGCTTCTGTATGGATCGCTCTGGTGGTTAGACACACGAAGACTGCAATGTACCCCTTGTATGATTTGTAACCTCTTCCTTTCGTAGTCCTTATTTGAATGGGACCGGCGTAGTCGACACCAGTGTGTGTAAATGGAGGAGATGGTGTGATTCTAGGGCTTGGTAATTCACCCATCAGCTGTTTGGCCGTCTCTGCCTTGTACCGTATGCATTTTACACAATTTCGAATGCATTTTTGTACTGCTCTCTTTCCATTGATAATCCAGAACCTTCTGCGAAGATGTGCGAGAGTTAACTGATTTCCACCATGTAATGTTGATCTGTGCGCATTGTGTATTAGTAGTGTCGAGAGATGAGAATAATATGGAAGAATGATTGATGTGAAACAATTGATTTAATTCTGTAAGATTATCCATCTTGCATAAAACAAGATATTCTTTTTTTTATTATTATATTGTTAAGAGACTCAATACCGTAGTGATTCTCTTCGGCACATACATATATATCTGGCGACAGTTGACATAATTTAAAGTTGATTAATGAATTAAAGATTCTCTCTGGGGTTATGAATGATGCTCATCGAGATAGTTACTTGCAAAACCTTTGTTTTTCATTTATATGTATGTAGGCATTGTAGGCTAAAATTAGTTGAACCTATCAGCTGTATTAGTTCCTATCTTCTGAGGCGAAATACTGCCGATGATATCAACATCGTCTACGACAAGCAGTTATGTTGATTTATTTACTACCGTGCTTTTAGTACCTGTATTAACACACCTCACGTAGTACGTTATTTACTCCTATATTCTCTGAGATGTTATTTTGTATTTTTACGCAGCATCATTTCTCATTGTCATTCTTACCAGATCTACCAGTTTTTTGGGAGTTGAGTCTGATGATGTCATAAGCGGACTTGACGTCGATCCACTTTGATACTCACCTAGAAGCTTTTCCGTTCAAAGACGCAGTCTTTTATATAGTATATTGGAGAATACTTTATGTGCTGTGTTTAACAACTTAATTTTAACTTTCTATAATTTTCACACTTCAGCGATTTGGTCGCTGCTAGGTGACTTATTATTTCGTAGGTTTCGAATCTGGGTATTTTTCCTCTTTCCAATTTTTTCAATTTCGACATTCTAGCCCTTATCCTCAATCTTAGCAGGAAATGGTCCGAGTCAACGTTTGCTCCTCTACATTAATGAGATTTGACTTGATTGAAGTGTGTCCCGCATTCCCCGATGGTTGCCTTATGTATGTCTTTTCCTTTGTATAGAGTGCTCATTGAGGCTGCGAAATTTATCACCCCACTCCGTTCTTATTACTATTCGTGGTACTCTTGTTCTCTGTTCTGTGGTATGCGTTAAAGTATACAATTATGATTTTCATGTCATGGTTTGGAGCACAGTTATATAGGCCGCTTCCAGCTCCCACGAAGACAGTACCGAACACTTGCCTGCTATTATGGCAGCTACAAAAAACGTCATAATCCCTCTTCTGCAATTGATCCCGCCTGGTCTATCTAACTACTTGGATGCCGGTTATTCCAGCGTTTTGCTTTGTCAATATATCTCCTGTTGTTTGGAGAGCACTGCTGCGATACAGATTTCTCACAATTAACGAAGCATCGCGTTAAGTCTGGCGGGTTCTACTTCGGTTCCTGACTATTCGTTTTTTATGGAGCGGGTCGTCGACGTACTGCTAATTCCCTTTTCAGACAGCTATTTCTTATGCTCTCGTTAGTTCCTACCCTGCCTCCCACTGGGATTGGTTACCACAGTCTTCTGTGGGGTTGCTTAGAATCCGCCTCGGATAATCGCAATGCTACCCCATTTGAACCCCAAGTAACGATATAAAGAGTGTTAAAAGGCAAAACGAAAACATCCGAAACATAATTGCAAAGTTGATCATTGTGCTTCTTCATTATGAAGGTATAGCATACATAGTTCATTATTATTTCTTTAATAACGGTCAAGGTAAATTTAGGTCAACCTTGCGGTGCTTCATTTTAATTCTTCGTTGCACACCCGGTTCTTTTCCACCCATTTCTGGCACGTCCAGGAATTTGAAAACCCACGAGTTTGTCCATGTCTAATTGAAAATTAGATGCGTTTAGGGTGGTGGTTATTATTTGGTCATCAAGCTTCTCTAATTCTAATGATAAACAACTGCTCTTTTCTTGATAAATCAGACGTTTCATATGACAAAATAGAAAAACGGTAGCGTTTCTTTACCTAATGAATGAAACCTGATTTCTTTACTTAGAACCTGACCGCAGATGTTACTTAATTCTTTTTGAATGTGAATTGAAGTATACGTAGAAGTATATAAGTCTTCTGATGGATTTACCGTCTGTCATTAGCGTAAGTGAGTTAGGTTTGCTATTCTTAGATGATAATGATAAGCCTTTTCGTCACAGAGATTAATAGATATGCAAAGTAAAAGTTTGATGAATTTCCTCGTGTGTTATTACGACCTCGAAGTGTATTATGAGACGTTTGTTGACTCTAATTATTCTGTCGGCTGTTACCATAATGTTTGGATTCACAATGAACGTTGACATCTACTACGTATTCTACAATTATTATTAAAATTATCGTGGAAAATTTCACTATTGGATTTATAATCTTTGTCTTTTGCCGCTTTAATAGCCTACTTAAGATAAATATAATTTCGAGACTTTACAATAATTTGCAGCTCATTGTTTCAAAGACCGTTACAAAAGGCATTTATAGTTAGTCTTTCCTTAATTGGCTCTAAAACATTTGTAATATCTCGGATAGCATTTCGTCGAATTATCGTCAGATTATTCATAAAGGTTTCAATTTCTGTTCCATTTTCATCTAAAGATTTTGCATCTTTCTTACTCTAATGTAATTTAACAGATAGCAGGGGTCCAGATTGTTTGCTTAAAAGATAGTTTTGAATCTCCGCTAACTGAATTATATGCACCTTTTAATCTCATTTTGGTATCTTGTGAGAGGCAAACTTTATTTACATATTTACAAGGTTTTTATTTAATAAGGTAACTTTATTTAACATTGTGCAACCTGGAACGTTTGACCGTGATGAATATCATTCCTTTTCATAGAAATTGAGAGAATTAAGATATTTTAATGCGTAATATTTTAAAAGGAACTGAATGCAATACAACGAGTTAAATTTGTATGACTCTATATCAGTAAGGTTTGGTTGTTCAGGAGTTAATAAAAAACTAAAAACAACTAAAATAATGTTATTAATATCTTAAAAATAGAGTATTACCTTAAAATGAACTAAAATAATTTTAATTTATTTATGAAAAAGATAATAATAATAATAAAGAAGGTTATTACTAAGGAAGGCATTGAAGAAATAATAACAACACTGGAGGTGGGAGGATTTAAAAAGGAAGAAGGGCCAGGGAGTTATTCCGAAGACGAGGGAAAGTCGAGAAAAATAATTGGTTCGCCGCGGGACGCGTTAAGGAGATTCCAAGCGCTTCATTAAGTTTGAACTCAACGACCCCTCGGGTAAAGGAAAACTAAAGTAAATTGGAGGACCTTCTTTTTCTCCTTAAATAATAACAATAAACATAAAGAACGGAGCTTCGACACAAAAATTAAAAGACTCCCTAATTGGAACTAACTACTTAGAACTTCTCCACTTTCACAATAATTACAGTAATATTAGTGATAGAAAAGAAACTTTCTACACGGCGATTTAGATAAATAGGTACCTTATCAACTAATTAAGTTGTTTGTCGAGTATTATGTTGAATTTTGCACAAAGAAATAAATTCTCAATTTATTTCAATGAACGATAAAAACGAAACGGTTCGTCGCTAACGATCTCTTATTATCTTAGGCGTTATCCGACGTCTCGTCTTTTATAATTGTGGCGGGTAGCTCATTAGGTTTTCCGCGGTCTTTAAGATTATTAAAATCGTTACTTCCGGCGTAACGACGCCGTTACGCTCCGTCGACGACGTCGCTATTAAGAGATTGCGGGGCGCATTATTGTATCGGACCGAGCCGAGTTCGTTTGGCGGAAAACACGAATTACAACACTACGTGATTCGCCTGCTCGTAAATTGGACCGGACGGCGAAATGGCGCCCTTCGCATTTCTACGAAATACGAGAAAATAAGAACTGAATTCTCATCCATGAAAAAAGTTGAAAGAAGTTTAAGTTATGATTGTGTGAGCGCCATCTTTTGGGCGCCGGTAGAAATTGAACGTTAAAAGGATAAAATTGGATCGATCTTTGGGATCGATCTCTTATCGTCGCCACCCTCAATGCGATAACACGCGAGTGGTTAGATTTTGTAATTTGTGAAAGTAAAACCTTTGTGTGATTTGGGGAAGGGAAAGAGAATTGGGTAAATATAGCAAGAATTTCTTTAATTAATTATATTTATGTTTATTTTTTATTATTTCTATTAATTTTGCTTTGAATCAGCACCCCTCTTTTTTTTAATTTTGTCCCGGCATTTATTGCTGCGCGAACAATGATATTACACCTTTTTTAATTTTTTTCCTTTACACTTTTAAATTTTTTACTCTTTGAAATTAATCGTACAAGCGAAAAAGCTTAAAAGGAGTAATACTTGAAATACGCACATATTTGCAGTAATATTGAAAGAGATACGTTAGGAATGTAAGGGAATATATACGAAACGGAAACCTAATATTTTTTGGTAGGAGTAGCTAGGTCCAATAAGGAGGAGAACCTCTTTCAAATATGACGTCACAAAGTGGCAGTTACTTTACCGGGGAACGAAGAAGGAACATTATTCCGGCAGTAGGGCGGTGAATATTGCTTTCGGCGGTTTCAGCAGTTGATTTTCAAACGCAATTTATTCGAGCGACCGTCGTGCGCGACCGTGAAATTGTACCTTGAAGGGTTTTACCTCTTCCGACGTATTGCGCCGAACGGAATAACTGAAGAGCATTTGCCCGAAAATTCTTGCAAAAGTATACGTTTACCATTTTTAAATTCCAATCGTCACCTACCGTAACATTATCGTATATTACTTTCTTTATGCACACTTACATACCGGGTGTCCCTCAGAAGTGGCTCACCCCCATATTTTTTTTTATTATTAGTGATATAAGAAAACCATTTGGAATGCATAGTTAGGTCGCTAAAACGGATTATTACGACATGAAATCATTTACTTTGTACTTCCGGTTATACCGGATGTGAGTACTAATTTCGCAACTTTTTTAAATTTACAATTTTTTTTTCTTCATTTGGGTAGACAGCATAATTTCATATAACTTTTACTTGAAAAAATGTTCACGATCGTTTTCATTGTTTTTTAACGTTTTAGTACCTTTGGAAAATGCACTACAATGCAATCAAGAAAGCCGGTCCGCTAAAAACTACTTTCCCAAGCGCTTGATACCAATACTTACTGCCCTCGTCACAGCGGTCACACCCTCCTTCCACTTGTTTTAATAGTGGTGGGGAAATGGGAGGAAACTTTTAGTTTAGTAAACATAACCTTAAAAACTATACGATGAAGGTGAGAAATTATTGTAAAATTTTAAGACTTATTACAAAAAAATATATCAACTCAAGAAAAAACAATTCGCAAAAGCCTTATGTCAGAAATACGCAAAAAAATGTGAAGAAACGGTGCGTAAACGCATTAATGGTCGTAAATGGCTTGAAATTATTGAGACTTTCTATAATATTAAACGGTTAAAATGCCATTAGAAAAAAAATATTACTAATGGAAATTAAGAGACGATTTTTACATCGAATTTTAACTAAATTCTGAAGTGCCGGGCGCGTCGGGCGCCCGGCACTTCAGGGTTGAAGAGACGACAAGGCTAGAGCAAAGGTTCGAGAGAAAATGAGTAGGCCCCTCCAGTCTCCGATTCTTCGGCCGTACTCGGCAAAGCAACCGTGCGCGGGATTTGTTTTCTGTCCCTTACGCCATGTAGTAAATAAGGTTTGGGCGATAGTACAGCTGATGTCCTTCCTTGAAAAAAGAGCAAAGGCAATAGAGTCAGTTTTATTAACGTCGGGAGATAAAACTTCCCTTGGGCGTTCAAAACCCACCATTCGATCAGTGAATTTAAAAATTGAAAATCATTCGAAGATTTCATCGCTGAAATGTGTCTTATGCTCAGAGTCTCATCCTATATATCGCTGTCACGTTTTTAATGGCAAGTCAGCTCTGGAAAGATTATCACTTGCAAGAGAACACAATTTGTGTCGTAATTGTCTCAGTCAAAAACATGCAACCCACAATTGCACCTCTACTCGTACCTGCCGTCTATGCAACCAACATCACCACTCATCCTTACATCTGAAGGGTCAAGGTTCTTCATCTGTTCACGTCGGGACATCCTTCCATGAAATGTCTTCTAATATAAAAGAAACAACTCACAAGGTTATTCTACCCATTATTCAAGTCAACACTCCGGATCAATTTGGAAAACTACATACCGTAAATGCTTTAATTGACTCCGGAAGTATGTCAAACTTTATTTCTGAAAGACTCTCAAAGAAATTACATCTTCCTCGAGAATATACATCATGTGTAGAGATTCAAGGACTAAACTCGATGACATCTCTATGTAAAAAGGGATCAATTCATTGTTCCGTTCAACCCATCCATTCTCACCAACCATCTTTTCAATTTAAAGCAATCATCACACCAAGCATTTGTTCCAACCAACCATCCATTTCATCCATTACCTCCATGTATTCACACCTAAAACACTTAAACATAAATCCAGATAAAAACCTTACCACGATATCCGTCGATCTCTTATTGGGAGCTGAGCTGGTGCCTCAAATATTTACTGATGGTCGCATTCAGGGCGGACCTAATGAGCCTATTGCGGTTAATTCCGTTTTCGGGTGGATCATAATGGGAAAATCTTCTATTTCCAATCCAAATCATCACTCAACTTGTCTTTCAACCACCAATGCCTCGCTTGAAAAATCGATTCAAAGATTTTGGGAATTGGAATCCATACCAAAAGAAACATCATTATCAAAATCAGAAGAAATGTGTGAATCTCATTTTAAAAAGAACTGTCAACTTACCTCCTCTGGTCGGTTTATGGTTTCGTTGCCATTCAAAACAAAGGAACCTGTTCTTGGAAATTCTTATACTATGGCGTTAAAACGTTTTTTGTCATTGGAAAATCGACTCCTGAAAAATCCTGCATTAAAAGATGATTATGTTAAATTTATGAAGGATTATCTTGAATCTAATCACATGACACGTCTGTCATTATTAAAATCTCCTTCTGAAAAATCCTATTATATACCACATCATTGTATTGTTCGACCAGAGAGTCTTTCTACAAAACTTAGAGTGGTTTTTGACGCCTCTGCCATAACGTCTAATGGCATATCATTAAATGATAATTTATTAATTGGGCGCAAGCTTCAGCAGGATATCGTAAAAATCTTAATGTCATTTAGATGTTTCAACTATGCATTCATCTGCGATATTAAGCAGATGTATCGGCAAATTTTGATATCCCCTTCTGATCGGCCGTTTCAGAAGATCTTATGGCGGTTCTCTCCTGCAGAACCGATAGAGGAATATTGTTTAAACACAGTAACGTATGGCGTAGCGTCGGCACCTTTTCTGGCTTTACGGACCTTATTGGAATTGGCCAACAAATATGAGAATTACTATCCTAGAGCAGCTACGGTTTTACGCAACCATGTGTATGTGGATGACATCGTTGCAGGAGCCCAATCGATAAATGAAGCTTTGAAAGTACAGCAAGAATTGATTGATCTATTGAGAAAAGGAAGCTTTGAGCTAAGAAAATGGGCGAGCAATTGTAAAGAAATATTACGTTTTGTGTCCAATACTGACCTTTCAATGCCAATATCTTTGAATTATGATGACACCCATTGCGTAAAAGTGCTTGGATTACTATGGAATCCTACCTCCGATCAATTCCAGTACTCTTTCTCCTCTCGTCAGGCTCCTTGTACCAAAAGATCTATATTATCAGAGATCGCTCGAATATACGATCCCCTAGGGTTTCTTACTCCATGTACCCTCAAAGCAAAAATTTACATGCAGCAGTTATGGCAACTAAAAATATCTTGGGATGAAACTCCTCCGCTCCATGTAACTGAAAATTGGAAAACATTTAAAAACAATCTTCCAGTGTTATCCGAATGGAGTTTACCTCGATTAATGATTCCAATTAAAACTCAATCGGTGCAACTTCATTTATTCTGCGACGCTTCTCAACAGGGGTATTGCACAGTTGCCTATTTACGCTCTCAAACTGACACCTCCATAACCACATCTTTCATATGTGCTAAAGCTCGTGTCGCACCTCTGAAGACGATTTCAATTCCACGTTTGGAATTGTGTGGCGCAGTTCTTCTTGCAGACATGTTGCAAAATATTAAGGAAACATTGTCTCCACTTATAGAATTTAAATCAATTACCGCCTGGTCGGATTCGCAAGTCACCTTGGCGTGGATTGCTTCCACCCCAAGTCGTTGGAAGGTTTTCGTCGCCAATCGTGTGTCTCATATAAATAACATTCTGCCGTCAACTTCTTGGAGATACATTCCCTCGTCCTCTAATCCCGCTGACTGCGGATCTAGAGGCATGTTCCCAGATCAACTAATTGCCACAGAATTGTGGTGGAAAGGTCCCTCATGGCTTAATAAATCCCCAGAATATTGGCCATCTATCAATAAAATTCCTGAAACAGAAGATATTCTACGTGAACAACAACAGAAATTCGTTCAAACAACTGAAATTAAAACTAATATCATTGATATTCTTTTGAATAAATTTTCCTCACTATCAAAAATTCAACGTATCCTAGCATACATTCAAAGATTCCTAAGTCTATGTCAAAGGCAAAAAGGATGTTCTGGTATAAACTTATCTTTGTTTGAAGTTCAGCAGGCTTTAACCACTATGCTCCGCCACGTTCAGAATCAACACTTTTCGTCACTGTTCATTTCCATAAAAAATAACCAATTACCCCCTAAACCTCTTCGAAAATTGGCTCCGTTCATTGATAGAGAGGGTTTAATTAGGGTGGGCGGGCGTTTAAAATATGCAGTGATACCATTTGATCATAAACACCCAGTGTTGTTACCAAAAACTAATCGGGTCAGTGAACTGTTGGTGGAAGAACTTCATAAAAAACATCTTCATGTGGGTCAAAGAACCTTACAATCGCTGGTGATGCAACAATATTGGATTCTTGGATCGAGAAGTTTAGTACATCGTGTTGTATCCAGATGTATCCGTTGCGTAAAATGCAAGCCTCGTTCATATGCACCATTGATGGCGGACCTGCCAGCATTTCGAGTAGCTGAAGCTAAGGCCTTTTCCAGGGTAGCTGTGGACTTCGCAGGACCCCTTTATACCACAATCAGTCGATGTAGAGGAGCGAGGNGAACAGAGGATGGTATTTACTCAGAATAACTGCTAGATGTTATTTCATCCGAATCGGAGGATTCTGAATCTTCGCAATCCTCTTGCATTATTGTAGGATCTAATAATAATGCTATTACTTCTTTTTCTATACTTCGAACTTTGTACGCTTTTGCTATATTATTTGATTTAGAAAATGTTGAAATATATGGATCTGAAGAATACATTAACGTATGAAAAAGGTCAGTTATGTTTTGCAGGCGCGAAAATTTTCTCGTGTGGTATTCTCTATATTTTCGCAAATCTTTATTACAAGCCTCCAAAGCTTCTTCAGAAAACATCGCTATGGATAAAATTGTTGACTGGATTATCTCCGCTCCGTGTAATAAGATTTTATGTAAGCTGGAAGGCATGTAAAACCAAGGATATAACTGAATGTACAGATTTGGAGTATCTAAAGCGTATTCTTTAAATGCATCGACATTTATTGCATAACCGCAGGATATTGTTTGTAAAACAATTTTAAGCCTCTTGACTAAATTTTCATCCAATCCAGTGATTTTTGCAGTTAATGCATAATTTTCAAAAAAACGACTGGCAGTATTGCCGTCATTAGTTGTTCCGTACCCAGGTTTAGTAATATCAATCAATATACCTAATTTTGCCTTCAAATCGTGTTGAATTTTCTTCTTAGTGTTTTCCATTGTTTTTTTGTCAGCTTCATCACGGATTTGCCACTTTTTAATATCAATGCGATATGCAATGTGAAGTAAGCATTCCAAATTCCTGATCCAGGCATGTAGGGAGGAAAGCGTTAATTCGTTGCAAATATTTTCAAGATTTTGCAAAATTACTGTATCTATTGACTTTATTAATCTACTGCTTGTTTGATTAGCTAAACATTGTAGTGTAACTTTGGCAGACGTTTCGTTAATTGCAATGTATTCTTCTTTCGGGTAACATTCTTTCTTGGCTTTTAATAATTTGTCGTAACTAGGGTATATATTTGCTTGACGTACCTTTGCTCCAGATTGCATTAATTTGTAGGAATGCTTTGTTGTACTATCTATGTACAATGCAAGCGCTTCTTCGGTTGTGTATTTTATTGGTTGGTTTGGTGAAGACTGCATTGTTTTTTTTATAATAGTTGCTCTGGTAGGTGAATGATCTGCAACTTTCTTTACTATTTTAGCACCGTTTCTGTGTCCAGATTTAACTAAGCTTGTTTGTACTGCAAACGATAATTCTTCTTGAGAATGGTGTTCCACTAAGGGTTTCACTTTTCTTCTTTTTGACATTGNAATTACCCCTCAATCGCTTGGACCGTTGGAAGCTATTACAAAGAATGGTCCAGGATTTTTGGAAACGATGGCACGTTGAATACTTACATTCGCTTCAACAAAGAAGAAAATGGAACACTCCTGATTCGAGTCCATCTGTTGGGGATCTCGTCACCATTAAAAATGAATTGCGCCCTCCGTTGCAGTGGGAAATGGGTAGAATCGAGACGCTTCATCCTGGAGTTGACGGCGTCATTCGTGTGGCGACCGTTAAAACAACACATGGTCACGTGATTCGACCGTTTGTCCGTTGCCCACTTAAATTGAAATATGTAATTTACATTTGATGTCGATTGGTTTATGGTTCCAATTATCATTACTTACCTGTTTATTTCCATGTTCATTTAACTAAAAAACTTACACGCTATTATAAAAAAAAAATATCGATATTCCTGTAATCTGTTTATATTTTTGTTGGTGGGCGGAATGTGTGAGCGCCACCTTTTGGGCGCCGGTAGAAATTGAACCGCCGAACGTTAAAACGATAAAATTGGATCGATCTTTTGGATCGATCTCTTATCGTCGCCACCCTCAATGCGATAACACGCGAGTGGTTAGATTTTGTAATTTGTGAAAGTAAAACCTTTGTGTGATTTGGGGAAGGGAAAGAGAATTGGGTAAATATAGCAAGAATTTCTTTAATTCAGTTTATTTTTTATTATTTCTATTAATTTTGCTTTGAATCAGCACCCCTCTTTTTTTTAATTTTGTCCCGGCATTTATTGCTGCGCGAACACACTTTATTGTCTTTCATTTCGTTAAAATGCTGCCATATTTGTCTTTTTTGCTTTGAAGACATGATTAAAAAAATGGACGCTACTTTCACTACAATATTCCGCATAAACTCAGCGCTGCGCTCCGTGTTGGCTTGCAATAACACTGTATAGCGCAATATACAGAGTGCACGCCGGTGAGCTGCGAATACGTTTAACGTAAGTGGAAAAAGGACGACAATAAGGCTGCTATTAGTTAACACAGGACAGATATACTACGTTTACTTATCGGGCCGATTGGAGTTGATATGTGTCTCTTTATCTAACTCATTAAAATCGTATGCAATTCGATGCCTTGTCTAACACATTGAAAAGCCTTATCCGCAGGTCGCAGTAACCACACGAACCTCGAAGTGCGACGAAGACAGACGTAATCAACCGCACCGTTCTAGCCGTGTTACTTGAACGGAGGGCGGTACAAAGCGATTTCATACAAGTTGGAAATTTATCTTTTCAAATTTTTTTAAAAATGAAATTTTTAGAGGTTGTAAAGAAAATAAATTTTTATTTTAACAAAAAATCTAAGTTTCTAGCATTCTTCGTAGCTTTGATAAAAATTCTTATAGTCACCCAAACCTAAAATTACATGATTAACTTTGAAATTTTTTTTTAAACCGCAAGTAGGAATTTCGAAGTAAAAAATGAAGTTTTTGAGATTATAAATGACTAATTTAACACCTATTTTTAAAAAAAAAATGAAATTTCTAGGATTCTTAGTTCGATAGAAATTCTGAAATTTAATATTTTTGTCTACTTGACATGCATTCTCTTACTTTTTCGTATTGAGCTATGACATCATTCCTAGACAGGCGTCGAATCAACCCAGACTTACGATAAAATCTGGTTTTTCATATTTACTCCATTTGTTTAGCGATTTTGTAGAGTTAACTTTTTCAAAATGGACTATTATAAGCCGGAAGAAAAGTTGTTCATGGTAAAGCAATTTTATGGTGGAAATTCTGCAGAAATATGTCGCTATTTATTTGCTGTGAACTATCCGGAAAGACCAATTCCTTCTACAAATACTATTCGAAATACGGTGAAGTATTTCGAGTCAAATTTCACATTAATAAATCAAAAAAACAAAAATGAAGCAGACTATAATATTAGCACATTGGAACTGGAAATATGTGGATTAGCAGAATTAGATCGTCACAAATCATCTCGCAAAATTGCCCGTGAAGCGGGTATTAGCGCAACAACAGTGATAAGAATTTTACATAAACATAAATACCGATCATATAAAATTTCAACATTACAAGTACTTTTTCCGGATGATTATTACCGCCGTATGGAGTTTTGCGAAATAATGATTAACCAATGCCATCAAAGTGAATTGTTTTTAAATAACGTTTTATTTTCGGACGAAAAAACATTTTATTTACATGGTCGTCATAATTCAAGAACTTGCCGGTATTGGTCCCGTGAAAACCTCCATTTGAATGTTCCCACGAGAACACCATACCCTCAAAAATTAAATGTATGGACAGGAATTATTGGAAAAGAAATAATCGGGCCCTTTTTCATAAATGGAAATTTAAACGGCAAGAAATATCTAGACTTATTGCAGAACAATGTTCGATTATTTTTTGTGGCCCTTTTTAAATAATTTGATTTACGGATATGGAGATGACCGTCCAGCAAATTTAGAGGAGTTACAAGCAAAAATTATTGAAATAAGCAATACATTACACCGGATGTATTTGCTAACGTCCGACAGAATTTTTACAACCGGTTGGGTTATTGTTCAGCTCAAGAGGGTGGATTATTTGAGCATTTATTAAATAAATGAGCAGTTACTTTTTTCATTTCGGCTTTTTAAAAAATATGTAAAGAATAAAACCTTCTTTTTTACATTTTTTTTTGTTTGTGAAAACAATTGATAAAACGACCTTAACAACAACCACCCATTCTTAAACCTTTAAAGCTTTCGATATATCTGAGAGCGCAAGCTCCGCCCACTTACAATCGCCCAACTGTTGCTAATGCGTCTATCCGCAGGTCGAATGGGTGCACACTGTATGCGCTGTACGCTCGCACCGGTGCCGCGCACAACGAGACATCAGGCGACGCCGGCGCAGCTGAGCGATAGATGTGATGCATCAGCAACTGTGTTATGGCGCAATTGAGTTGATCCATTGCGCTAACTCATTTAGGTGCGCCAGTATCAGTGTGTCAGCGCAGCAAATTTTGCTGCGTTACACATGGTTACGATGTACCTCTTCTGGATTTTTTTGTTGAGCATTCTTAAACAGTATTCTAAGAATTAAGAACTAAAGACAATGTATTGAAGCGGGTAGGAAAATGTTTAAAAATTCATAAACCTTGTTTGTTCTTGCTAGATTATAAACGTTAGTTTCTGAAGAAGTTTCAATTTTTTTCAAAAGATGTTTTGCCATTGTACTGGCAAAACCACACAGTAAAATTTTTTGATTTTTTTTTTGAATTACTTTACTTTTATCCACAGATTCAGATTTTACAATAAAATATATAGGATGCCATTTAAAAAATTGATCGTGACCTTCATATAACCTTGAAAATAAGGTCAAGGTCAAAAATGTTATCGTCATATGGTTTCCCTCTTCGCACAAAACAACTTTCATTTGGTTCATTTTTATGTAAAATGAACAATTTTCGAGATAATCGCTTGTCTCACATTAAATGTAGCATACTATATATGGAGAAATGGCATCACAAAATTTTTAAATTGTTTCATATTTGAGCTGCGATTCTTGCACTACGTTTTCAGTATTGCGACGAGTAGACGAAAGAAAGAATACTAAAAGAAAATAAGGATATTCTTTATTATTATCGTGTCTCATCTGCGGT